TATTTTCCCCGCGTAATAAGTTCAAATACCAACAACATGTGCATGCGTTTTCACAGTTCAAACAGGGTCAGTAAACACTGATTAAACGATGCATTTGTTTCTACTTTTGTAACGTTTAACAAACTATAACAAACGGCACACAACGTTTACCAAACTTTGGTTAGAAAGAAATGCACACTAAGTTCGTTTTTAAAATCTAAAAAATTACCTCAGGGACTCGGTTTGCAGATTAAAATTTTGTTAATTTTTGTTTTTTAAATCTTTTTTTCGTATTTCCTGTCTATTTGAATTACATTACTCACGTTTTTAACGTTGGCATCAATATTTCTTTGTTTTCTAGCAATGTGCAGTTTACTATCCATATCCGTATACTGAAAAATCCTGGGAATTTGTAAGATCTTTCTCTTATATATTCGAACAATTGTCAACACATTATTTGTGACTTTTTGTCCTGTTACTTTTTGTCCTATCAAATTTGTGACTTTATGTCCTGTGACTTTCTGTCCGTTTACCAATGAGCATATGTCATTTTTGATGGAAACATATTGGCTATCAAAATAATTGTGTTTTTACTAAGTATTAAATCAATTTAAAAATACTGCTTGTCCACTAAATACTGTAGCCCATATTAAGGAGTATTCTATGAAATTTAAAAAATACTATTGCTTATCTGGTATTAAGCAGTATTCTTGTCTGTTTAGAGTAGGAATAATGTCCCCTGCTGAAGAATATGAATGACAAGTCTTGCAAAGGAATAAGATATAAAGCACATAGAAAACCTGATTCTTCCAGTCTGTCTTAAACAATTCACAAACGTTTTCTTGCACTAAATACTAATATAAAGGAGCATGTTTCAGCCGAACTATGTATTTTTCGGTTCCATGTTATACAATTATAGCCTTTGTATGAGGTCGATACAATGATATATTGACCTAAAAAAAGTATATGGACTGAGGACGATATACTTCTTTGGGTCGATGTCTCCTCTATTGACCTCATGCATAGGCTATAATTGTTATATTATTAATTTACTACCATATTTGTATCAAAATCGTCAGTGCAAGTATATTCTCTTTTTTCGATCATTTAGTTGTGTTTTAGGCAAACGTAAGACCTTCAATATGGAAAAATATGGAAACCGTAAAGTTGGTTATAAAAGGGCCCGCCTCGACATGACAAATATGAAACAATTCCTTGAGAAAAGTAACGGCCTAATTTATAACAAAGCATTTACAAAAAAAAAATATCAGACTTGAAGTAACAACAACCACTGAAGTACATGCTCCTGACTTTGAACAGACACACAAAGAAGGTGGCGATGTGTATGTCCTTTTTTGGTCATAAACCTCTTCACTCCTATCTTTTTTATGCATTCTTTGGCTTTCAAATATTTTTGCCACCCACTTCCAAACCCATTGTCTCGGTAGTTCTTTATGGCTAGGGATCATAGACCCTGCCCTAATGAATAGCTATTGGATAGTACTACAACGTGAGGGTAAAGAATTTCTGGGGACAGTATTCTTAACGGCCGAAAATTTCGTCCGTAACACGGAAAAATGGTCAAAATTGATAAAATACACATTGGGGTCACCCACTTGTTAAATCAATTGCCTCGGCAGTTCTGTATGGCTAGGGATTATAGACTCTGCTACTTACCCCAGAAAATCTTTACCCTCACGTTGTAGTACTATTCAATAGCTATTCATAAGGGCAGGGTCTATAATCCCTAGCCATAAAGAACTACCGAGATAATGGGTTTGACAGTGGGTTGCCCCAATGCGTATTTGATCGAATTTGGCTTTATTTCCATGTTTCGCACGAAATTTTCGACCTTTAGGAATGCTTACCCTAGAAATTCTTTGCCGTCTCGTTGTAGTTCTATCCAATAGCTATTTATTAGAGCAGAGTCTATAATCCCTAGCCATACAGAACTGCCGAGACATTTCGTACAGGAACCTTTTCATTTGCTGTATTTCTAGTTTTCATATTTTAGAACACATTTTTATATAAAACTGGTCTTGTACAAAATTTTAATACAATAAAGAGAAAAATACTTTATTTGTAGGTGTTTCTACTGAGATTTTAAAAGAAAACAAAATGTGATTCACGTTTGGTGTGTTTTCGCCAGCACCTGACCGTCAAAAAATGCATCCTTTTGTGCACCAACTCATTGGCGTCATTATATTTCAGAATACATATAGTATCATTGGCGCCAAAGAAAAGTATATACGATTTAAAATAAACAGCTGCGCCATGAGCGCATGATACGCCCGTCGTCTTGTGTGTGAATTTGTATGCAATAAGCATAAATAGTTTCTGACATACGGCATGACATGCGAAAACCCCCTTTTTTTTAACAAAAAACTCATTATCTCTAAAATAAAATTTTGAATCAAAATCAAAAAGTATACAGATCTTTAGATTGATATAACTAAGAAGTGTGTAAAATTTTAAGCAATAATCATAAATCTTTTTTGAGATACGGCGCGACATGTGAAAAACCCCTCCCCCTTTTTTTACAAAATACTCAATAACTCAAAAATAAAATTTTGAATCATCACCAAAAAGTATACAGATCTTAAGGTTAATATAACTAAGAAGTGTGTAAAGTTTTAAGCAATAATCATAAACTGTTTTTGAGATATGGTGCGATATGTGAAAAACCCCTCCCCTTTTTTTAACAAAATACTCAATATCTCTAAAATAAAATTTTGAATCATCACCAAAAAGTATACAGATGTTAAGATTAATATAACTAAGAAGTGTGTAAAGTTTTAAGCAATAATCATAAATTGTTTTTGAGATACGGCGCGACATGTGAAAAAAAACATGCACCTGTTTTAGTTACTAAGTCCCGTAACTCAAAAAGTTTTAATCTTATTTTCACCAAAAAGTATACAGATCGTTTGACCATCATAAGAAACAACTATGTTAAGTTTCATGAAATTTGGATAAGTCATTCTCAAGTTACGGTGCGACATGTTTACGCCGGACAGACAGACGGACAGACGGACAGACAGACGGACGGACGGACGGACACCGGACATTTGTATACCATAATACGTCCCGTCAAAAATTGACGGGCGTATAAAAAAGGAAATGACTTCCCAGCTACATGCCAGGGCCTTTTATAGCTTGCTACATACGGAATGATTTTTGCTTGCTGTACGGTGACCATTATAATTGCAAACTTCTACCTGGAACTATTACACTTACATTATTGTAATAGTCCCAGCTTCTATTCTGGTGAAAAGTTTCTCATTGACAATCATACCACATCTTCTTATTTGTATGTATATATTTTTCAATTTTCTGAGCCATTCAGATCTTTTCATTTTATAAAACGACAGTCTCTTTCATTAATATAATCCAATTTTGCAGAAGATCCATTGAAAATATGTGAGTTTTACAAGTTTCTATAAATCTACCTGTATATTTTTAGAAACAGTTAGGCCGTTTCCTTTTCCCAGTTCACTTCCGAGAACAGTAATAGCCTGGAATACATTACCGAAATCGACAGTGAAAGCTCCAACTATATGGAAGCTTTCAAGACTGATTACATAGATGAAGGAATGTTTTTATCCTGCTCCAACTGTACAGCATGCACCATATTTTTTTTTATCTTTGGTCTTTTATTGTAAATAGACATTACCAGCACCTACGTAACGCACAAGTATTGAGTACTCATTACTGAGTTTTTTTAACTACTATATCAAAGAAGAAGAAGAAGAGTGTTGGCTTAAAAGACTTTTTTCTTCTTCGAATAAATATTAAATATGCTATCTGCAGAATGGTAGGAACAATTCGGGAACATTCAGACTTTTTTAGATATACCTCCTTCTATCATCTAAAAATATTTTTTTCTCGTTTTCAGTCCTAACTATAAAGGTTGGAATTAGTGATTACTTGTGAAGATAAATAAATCAAAAAAAATATACAGAATTTCTTGTCTTGATGTCTTTCAATGTTAACGTTTAGGTCCAAGTTTTTTTTATTTATTACAAACATATAATTCTTTAAAACTTGGTTGATTTTAAATAAATGACTAGCCTCGACTTTAAAATAAGAAGGAAATCCAAAGAATAAATAATTCTTAAGTTTAAATGAATCCAACCGTAAGATAGATGTCCATTTAAGTCTTTAAATCTCCCCATTCAGTCCTGAGTTGTGGCATCAGAAAAATTATTTTCCCGTCTAGATGAATGGAATTTGTTAATTTGAAGTTTATCTATTGAAAAGTGAAAAATATAAATAAAACTACCATCTTTGTAGTTTCTGGTCCGTCCAAGTTTACGTAAATTTTAAGCATGTGATGATTAAACATAATTTGTTCAATGAAAATTCGAAAATCTTATTTCATGTAGGAGAAAATTTTTCAAATTTTATTTGAGACAATTATTTTAAAAATATGAGAAAAAAAATCAAAATTGAAAAAAATATTTCAAAACATGAGTAAAATATTTCTAATTTTATCTACATGTATGAAAAAACATTTCAAATTTAATTCAGAAAACACAAATGTTATTGAATAAAACTTAAATTTGAAGGAGTGAAAAAGAAATTGCAATTTAAAAATTGCCCTGTATATTTTCAGGTCCATTCTGGTCTTTAGTGCTACCATTATCAGTATTCGATTTAACTATAGTTTAAAAAGCTTCTAAATGCACACAAATGTGCATAGGATTTTTTTTTTAAATAAATATGGTTAAAATATCATTCCAGAACATGAATGTTGCACTGAAACGTTTTATTGGAGTATATTTGGGTATATTGGGGTAAAAAGTCATTTTGTGATCGTAAGCGGCTGACAAGAAAGGAACAAGTTTCAATGAAAAAAGTGATTTAAAATTAAATATATTTATAAAATAAAGTATTGTTGGTGTTAAAATAACATGGAAATGCCTAAAATGCTATTATTATTCAATAATATTTTGTTGAAACTGTTTTTTGATGTATATTGGGGTATATTGGGGTATGTTGGGGTATATTGGGGTAAAAAGTCGCACCCCTGCCAAGACGTTATTACTGCGATTTTTGCGATAAATCGTTTGCTGATAACCCGGTAGCAAGGAAAAATCACATGAATGGAACCACCCATCAAAGAAACAGAAAGCAGCATTACGATTCATTCCGGGATCCCGAAATACTCTTGTTTGAAGAAATCAACAAGAAGCCATGTAAACATTTCTTGCAAAGTGGGACATGCACTTTCTTTGATAGTTGTAGATTTTCTCATCTACGTGAAGATGAAAAGGAACAACTGAGAACTCAAGCAACAGAAATGAAAACAAAAAAATACAAGAGACAAGACATAAAGAAGGATGAAAATGATGAGGATCTCAAAACTTTTTTTACAGAAGATTGAGAGTGGTCAAAAGTTTGATCAGAAAGAAGGAAAAAATATACATTCAGGAGTAGTGATTCCAAAATATAGCATTCCAACATTTTTACAAAGGCAGTGTCTGCGCGTACCCGCATGCGGGTACGAATAGTCAAATTGCCATTCATAGGCTACGCGTACCCACATCCGGTTTTATAATAAAATGCCATCGGATCAGGAATGAAACGTTAAATATATATACGTAAATTATCGATAATATGGGGATTTCGTGTAGAACGAGTGAAGAGTATGAAAAATAATATTTTCAAATTGTATTTATTAGATAATGATACATAATAAACATTGCAAATTAAATGCACATTGATGGAAAATGAAACTGTACAGTCCCTGTAAAAGAAGAACATGATAAAAATTAATACTGTTACAAAATGTAAATGCAAATTTAAAGAATAAAATTTTACTGATTTTGAAAAATACCCATATGAGATTTAAAAATAATCTTTTAGTAAAATGTAAAACAGAAACTGAAATTTTAAAATATCTTAAACGACTAAAATTAAAGCTTGGGTGTCTATATAAAAATTAAAGAAGCAAGTAATAATGTCAAATTAAACCAATTAATATAAAAGATTCATGAAGCTAATTAAGATTTGGAACAAGTTTTACGTATCCACTATGATTGTTTTGGCACATATTTCAACCCTGCACATTTCAAATGTTGCCAGTCCAAACAACAATCACAGGCCAAAGAGTCCTGATCGTGTAGTTTTTTTTTGACATTTGATACATATCCATTCGCATGATTCTCTTCTTTCGTTGATCCTAATTTTAAGTTGCTTCCACGCTTCAAAGGTAAAACATTTTTTGATGCGCTGAAGGTTTACATTTTCGTCAAATATTTTGTTATTTATTAACGAAGCATCTAGAAGATTATTGGCATCGGCCTTTGTTTTATCAGAAATAATTTTTGTGTTTCCAGTTCTTCTTTTCTCTGCAGCTGCAATTGACTCCGAGTTTCTTTTATACAATTGTATAAAATTAATCGACTGATAGGTCTGAACAAATTGTTCCAATTCATGATAACTTTGAAATGTCTTCCCCACATGTATATCACTCTCTTCCATTTTAAGAATATTTATTAACTAAGAAAAACAGTTCACTTACCTATATATAAATATTTATAAAAATTCTGAGTAGTTTTAATCAATTTATTCACTAATTGCGACAAATTCCGTATATATTTCACGTTTCATTCCCGATCCGATGGCATTTTATTATAAAACCGGATGTGGGTACGCGTAGCCTATGAATGGCAATTTGACTATTCGTACCCGCATGCGGGTACGCGCAGACACTGCCTTTTACAAACTGTTGCAAACTTGCCACCATCGCTTGTACCGCCTCCACCAGATAGTTTCTTAGACCTTGAGCTCAAAGAATGGGGATAATCATGTACACTATACATGTATAATGTTTTTTTTTTATTACAATAAAATTGAGAATAATCCTTTTTTATGTATCGCTTATGAGCATTCTGATATTTAATTTTTCCTAGGTGATGCAACAATACATGTACATGATTTAATATAATCATTAGAAGTTAGAACCATACATTGTACATTTAGTATTTGGTGTACATGTACAGGATTGTAATGCCACAGTACCCAAATTGCACCAAGCACCCAATGTGTACCCATCATGTATACATTAATTGGCTTAAAGAGTGACGGATCTAGATCTCTTTCTAAGAGAGTCAGACTGAATAATTCGTAACTTTTATCATTAAGTAAATTGATTTAAGTCTTTCAAAATAGCTAAATATTCTTAAAGATACACAAAACGGCCACATTACATATCAACAGATGAAATTTCCAATAAAAAAATGTTATTTAGGGAAACAGTGCATGAGACCTTCCACATCCAAAAAAGGAGAAATTAAAATATGTTGCAGACTTCCATTTTATACAAAATCATAAAAAGCATAGACTATTTTTTTTAGATTGTAATAAAATGCTCCGCTGGGCGCAGCTTGATACGACCGCAGAGGTCAAACCCTGAACAGTTGGGGCAAGTATGGACACAACATTCAAGCTTGATACAGCTCTGAATTTGGATTGTGATTAAATATTTGACACAGCATAGGTTTCTGACACAGAATGAATGTGGTCTTAGAACTTAAATTTTTTTAATTTACCTATTATGGTCCAATATCCAAAATCTAAATACATGGTTACATTCAGCATATCAAAGAATCCAAAGAATTCACAATTTTTGATGAAATCAAACAAAGTTTAATTTTGGACCCTTTTGACCTCAATGTGGACCAATTTGATAACGGGGCCCAAAAATCAAAATACATGGTTAGATTCAGCATATCAAAGAACCCCATATATTCAATTTTTGTTGAAATCAAACAAAGGTTAATTTTGGACATCAACTTGGACCAACTTGAAAACTGGGCCCATAATAAAAAATCTAAACACGTTTAGATTCAGCATATCAAAGAACCCCAAGAATTCAATTTTTGTTAAAATCAAACTAAGTTTAATTTTGGACCCTTTGGACCTTAATGTAGACCAATTAAAAAACGGGACCCAAATTTAAAAATCTAAATACACGGTTAGATTTGGCATATCAAAGAACCCCAATAATTCAATTTTTGATGAAATAAAACAAAGTTTAATTTTGGACCCTTTTGACCTCAATATGAACCAATTTGATAGCGGGGCCCAAAAATCAAAAATCTAAATACATGGTTAGATTCAGCATATCAAAGAACCCCATATATTCAATTTTTGTTGAAATCAAACAAAGTTTAATTTTGGACCAACTTGAAAACTGGGCCAAAAATCAAAAATCTAAATACATGTTTAGATTCAGCATATCAAAGAACCCCATATATTCAATTTTTGTTAAAATCAAACTAAGTTTAATTTTGGACCCTTTGGACCTTAATGTAGACCAATTTGAAAACTGGACCCAAAATTAAAAATCTAAATACACGGTCAGATTTGGCATAACAAATAAATAAATGTGGTCAAAGATTTTACAAATCTAATGTGCCATACTGTGCAATTAAAGATTACGTCTTGAAATTTTTCAATATTTGAAATTTGAAAAAAAAAAAATATTGTAGGAATAATTCTTTTTAATTTCTGAAATCTGAAATGAGAAAAAATTGACCCCCCACAATTTCTTTTTACCCTCCATAAAAAAGATTTTTTAAAATAATTACCCATAGTGCTAACTTAATCTATTTTATAATAGAATTTAAAATATGGTGTCAAATCTTTCATATGGATTTTTTTGTAAAAAAAAAAAGATGCAACATTTGCAGATATTTTTACTGGTCTTCCTTTATAAATATGCATTTCTTTAAACATAATTTAAAAGCAGTGTAAGGGAAGTAATCAAAACGTTGTATGTGGATTACCTCCCTTACACTGTTTTAAATTGTCTTAATTGTTCATTAACCATTACTTTATACATAATTTAAAAGCAGTGTAAGGGAGGTAATTCAAATGATGTATTTGATTTATCTCCCTTAGACTGCTTTAAATTATGTTTTGTACTAAAGTATTTGTCCATATAAAAATGCTTGTTTTTTGCCCCTTTTTTGGCCCCTTATTCTTAAAATTTTGAGGTAATTACCCCCAAAATCAATCCCAGCATTCCCTTTGTGATATGGAACCTTGTGGTACAATGTCAGAGAGAGCCATACACTAACACACAAGTTATGTCTGGAAGTTACAAAAATGCTTATTTTTGGCCCCTATTTGGCCCCTAATTCCTTAACTGTTGGTACCATAACCCCTTAAATCAATCCCAACCTTCCTTTTGTGGTACTGAACCTTATAGTAAAATTTCATAGAGATCCATTCACTTAAACTAAAGTTAGAGTGCGAAAACCAATGTGTCTTCGGACGACGATGACGACGACGACGCCAACGTCATACCAATATACGATCACAAAATTTTTTTGCGGTCGTATAAAAAAAACAAGAGTGCACACACTGAAATGTCTAGCCTACCATACTGACTATTGATTTTATGTTGATAGTCCTAAATATAATGTTTTACTACAAGTATCACATTATAAAATTGAGAATGGAAATGGGGAATGTGTCAAAGAGACAACAACCCGACCATAAAACAGACATTAACATTCATGATCCTAGAAAATGAGGTCAAAGTCAGATAAACCAAGCCAGAAATACATGTACACCTTTAATACAATCATTCCATACACCAAATATAGATGACCTATTGCTTATGATATTAAAATAAAATGCTCCGCAGGGCGCAGCTTGATACGACCGCAGAGGTCGAACCCTGAACAGTTGGGGCAATGTGGACACAACATTCAAGCTTGATACAGCTTTGCATTTGGATTGTGATTAAATATTTGACACAGCATAGGTTTCTGACACAGAATGAATGTGGTCTAAGAACTTAAAAATTTTAAATTGGACATTCACCTATTATGGTCCAATATCCAAAATCTAAATACATGGTTAGATTCAGCATATCAAAGAACCCCATGTATTCAATTTTTGTTGAAATCAAACAAAGTTTAATTTTGGACCCCGATTTGGACCAACTTGAAAACTGGGCTCATAATCAAAAATCTAAATACATGTTTAGATTCAGCATATCAAAGAACCCTAAGAATTCAATTTTTGTTAAAATCAAACTAAGTTTAATTTTGGACCCTTTGGACCTTAATGTAGACCAATTTGAAAACGGAACCAAAAATTAAGAATCTAAATACACGGTTAGATTCGGCATATCAAAGAACCCCAATAATTCAATTTTTGATGAAATCAAACAAAGTTTAATTTTGGACCCTTTGGACCTCAATGTGGACCAATTTAAAAACGGGGCCCAAAATCCAAAAACTAAATACACGGTTAGATTCAGCATATTAAAGAACCCCAAGAATTCAAGAGTAAAACCCCATTGAAATTGGTCAAGAAATAAGCAATTTAAACGAAGTATCTTCTTTTGCACAATACTGTGTATTAAATATTTCTTGCTATTGCGCAATACTGTACAATTGACAATTTCTTGCTATTGCGCAATATTGTGCTATTGGATATTTCTTGCTATTGCGCAATACTGTGCAATTGAAGATTTCTTGCTATTGCGCAATACTGTGCAATTGAAGATTTCTTGCTATTGTGCAATACTGTGCAATTGAAAATTTCTTGCTATTGCACAATACTTATTATATAATTTACACATCCTGTTTCGTGTGTATCTCCTACCATATCATTATTATTTGCTTTTAAATATAAATCAGAAATAACCAACTTAAAATGGAAAATTTTAAAAGAAAAAAAAAAGGAAAAAAATTAAAAAAATTAAAAAAAAAAAAATCTCCCCCCCAAATTTTTTGAACCCCTTTATGATTCATCACCCCCAAACTCAATCCCAGCCTTCCCTTTGTGGTATGGTACCTTGCAGTAAAATTTCAGAGAGATCCATACACTTGAACACAAGTTATTGTCTGGAAACTAGAAAAATGTGTTTTTTGGCCCCTTTTTGGCCCCAAATTCCTAAACATTTAGGGCAATTACCCCAAAACTCAAACCCAGCTTTCCCTTTGTGATATGGAACCTTGTAGTACAATTTAAGAAAGATCCATACACTTACACACAAGTTATTGTCCTGAAACTAGAAAAATGCTTGTTTTTTTGCCCCTTTTTGGCCCCTAATTCCTAAAATATTGAGGCAATTACCCCCATCATCAATCCCAGCCTTCCCTTTGTGGTATGGTACCTTGCAGTACAATTTCAGAGAGATCCATACACTTGAACACAAGTTATTGTCTGGAAACTAGAAAAATGCTTATTTTTGGCCCCTTTTTGGCCCCCAATTCCTAAACGTTTCGGCAATTACCCCCAAACTCAATTCCAGCTTTCCCTTTCTGATATGGAACCTTGTAGTACAATTTCAGAAAGATCCATACACTTACACACAAGTTATTGTCATGAAACTAGAAAAATGCTTGTTTTTTGCCCCTTTTTTGGCCCCTAATTCCTAAAATTTTGAGGCAATTACCCCCAAAATCAATCCCAGCATTCCTTTTGAGATATGAAACCTTGTGGTACAATGTCAGAGAGATCCATACACTAACACACAAGTTATGTCTGGAAGTTACAAAAATGCTTATTTTTGGCCCCTAATTCCTTTACTGTTGGTACCATAACCCCCAAAATCAATCCCAACCTTCCTTTTGTGGTATTGAATCTTGTGGTAAAATTTCATAGAGATCCATTCACTTAAACTAAAGTTAGAGTGCGAAAACCAATGTGTCTTCGGACGACGACGACGCCAACGTCATACCAATATACGACCACAAAAATGTTTTTGCGGTCATATAAAAACAGACCAAACCATGGAAATTTTTATATTGACCAATGAACCATGAAAATAAGGTCAAGGTCAGATGAGCGCTGCCAGACAGACATGTACACCTTAAAATCATTCCATGCATGATACAGGTTATGTTCTTCTCATATATTTTATGATGGTATGATACTAAACCCCTAACGGGAGGGATTGTGTTTGATTTTCATATGATGAAGACATAATCTTTCTATCAGTTTAATTGAACTCTGGAACTGGCATGTCAGTATCTGCTAGTAGTCCTTTGTTAATTTATGTTGATTATTGTCATTTTGCTTAGTTTCTTCTGTTACCTATTCTAACATTGGACTCGACTTCTTTTAAACCGAATTTTACTGTGCGTATTGCTGTGTGTTTGTTTATTCCATATTGGCTAGAGGTATAGGGGAAGGGTTGAGATCTCACATAACATGTTTAACCCAGCCACATTTTTGTGCCTGTCACAAGTCAGGAACCTCTGGCCTTTGTTAGTCTTGTATGTTTTATAAAAATTTTGGTTCATTTATATGTTTCAGAATTTAGTGTGACGTTTATTTTCACTGAACTAGTAAACATTATTGTTTAGGGGCCAACTGAAGCCCACATCTAGATGCAGGATTTTCTACTGTGTTGAAGACCCATTGGTGGCCTTGCGCTGTTTTCTGCTCTTTGGTCAGATTGTTGTCTCTTTGACACATTCCCCATTTCCATTCTCAATTTAATTTGTGACCATGAAATCACCAATTGATGCCGTCGGAGCTTAAAATACAATACATGCAGTTATCTCCTAATTTGCTCTTAAGTGAACATTTGATAAAAGGTATTTGACCATACATTTCCCTTGTATGGAAAGAGTCATTGATTAATATTTAAATTAAGAACAATGATGAGAAAAATAAATATACAGATATGTATTTATTTATAGCTTTGCCTACATTGTTATTTTAATACACTTTTTAGTATGTGAATATTTACAATGCTATAAATAGTAAACACAATATTTCGCTAGACAAACTAGTTTCATTGGGTTTGCATCTATCCAGGTAAAATTTGGATGCAGATAAGAAGCTTTTGCAGCCAATTGTACAGATTAGTCAATCAGATCTATAATTGTGCTGCATAAAAATATTGTATGCAGTAAAGATTTTTTGTATGATATATGAAATCAATTGTAGTAAGGTTAGTTTGCAACATTCATTGGCCAATATTATAAGGATATTAAGGATGATGTCATGAAATGAACTTAATCTTTATCCTTGCTGTATTTTTAATGTTTTTATTCATCAGATTCCAAAGTGTGAAACTTGATAAACCAAAAGTTTTTCTTCTCCTTCTTGCTGCAGTGCCATACTCAGTGTTCACTTCTATAATTTGGAAAGTGACGTTATCAAAAGGATGTATGTTTAAGGGAAGATGTCTTGTGAGGGGACAGTCTTTCGTTAGTTTTGTACCCATGATCGATGGTTAAATAGATTTGTATGTTATGTATCTTAGGCATTTATGTTTATTTATATATATATATATTATATGATCCGTTCATCCTATTTCGACTCTTCAAAATTCAAGAGTCTATCCTAAATTGAAGTAAATTATATGGCCTCCCAAATACTGTTTCGATTCCTAACATCACTGAAGAGACATTAATAGTTGAAATCTGGATATGGTGTTCAAATTTTTGCACCTCATGTTTGCGGTATACCATCTTTTCCGCAAGTTTATTGTTTTCTGTTTGGTATTAAATTAATAATTAAGATCCATTTTGTTACATCTTGTGATCTGTTTATTTCGCAATTGCCAATGGCAGTCTGCAGGGGTTAAGAACATCCATTGTTCGACCTGTTAGTCAAATGCGTTTTGTTTAAATATATTTTTTCACTTTTTTGGTCTTTTGGAAAATGTTGTTTATGCTGTATTTAGACCCCTCTACCAAGAAATTTGTTTTGCATGCACACGTATAAAAATTGCAGATTTTATCCAACGCAATCATAGGTTTGAACGTTGTTCTCAATTTAGACATATTTATATATAAAATTGATTATTGCTTTAATAGAATATAAAATGTTCTTACCATTATAATTAAGTTTGGTTAGTCAAGATAAAACACCTTATTTAATCCAACCCATATCCCCTTTCTCAATTAGGTCAAGATGAATTCTTTATGAGCAAAATATTACATTTGAATGATATTAATTAAAAGATTTCTGAGCCATTATCTGCCAAATTATAATAAAATGCTCCGCAGGGCGCAGCTTGATACGACCGCAGAGGTCGAACCCTGAACAGTTAGGGCAAGTATGGACACAACATTTAAGCTTGATACAGCTTTGCATTTGGATAGTGATTAAATATTTGACACAGCATAGGTTTCTGACACAGAATGAATGTGGTCTAAGAACTTAAAAATTTTAAATTGGACATTCACCTATTATGGTCCAATATCCAAAATCTAAATATATGGTTAGATTCAGCATATCAAAGAACCCCAAGAATTCAATTTTTGATGAAATCAAAAAAAGTTTAATTTTGGACCCTTTTGACCTCAATGTGGACAAAGTTGATAACGGGGCCCAAAAATCAAAAATCTAAATACATGGTTAGAATCAGCATATCGAAGAACCCCATATATTCAATTTTTGTTGAAATCAAACAAAGTTTAATTTTGGACCCCGATTTGGACCAACTTGAACACTGGGCCCATAATCAAAAATCTAAATACATGTTTAGATTCAGCATATCAAAGAACCCTTAGAATTCAATTTTTGTTAAAATTAAACTAAGTTTAATTTTGGACCCTTTGGGCCTTAATGTAGACCAATTTGAAAACGGAACCAAAAATTAAGAATCTAAATACACGGTTAGATTCGGCATATCAAAGAACCCCAATAATTCAATTTTTGATGAAATCAAACAAAGTTTAATTTTGGACCCTTTGGACCTCAATGTGGACCAATTTAAAAACAGGGCCCAAAATCCAAAAACTAAATACATGGTTAGATTCAGCATATTAAAGAACCCCAAGAATTCAAGAATAAAACCCCATTGAAATTGGTCAAGAAATAAGCAATTTATATGAAGTATCTTCTTTTGCACAATACTGTGCAATTAAATATTTCTTGCTATTTTGCAATACTGTACAATTGACAATTTCTTGCTATTGCGCAATATTGTGCTATTGGATATTTCTTGCTATTGCGCAATACTGTGCAATTGAAGATTTCTTGCTATTGCGCAATACTGTGCAATTGAAGATTTCTTGCTATTGTGCAATACTGTGCAATTGAAAATTTCTTGCTATTGCACAATACTTATCATATAATAATTTACACATCCTGTTTGGTGTGTATCTCCTACCATATCATTATTATTTGCTTTTAAATATAAATCAGAAATAACCAACTTAAAATGGAAAATTTTAAAAGAAAAAAAAAAGGAAAAAAAGAAAAAAAATGAAAAAAAAAAATCCCCCCCCAAATTTTTTGAACCCCCTTATGATTCATCACCCCCATCATCAATCCCAGCCTTCCCTTTGTGGTATGGTACCTTGCAGTACAATTTCAGAGAGATCCATACACTTCAACACAAGTTATTGTCTGGAAACTAAAAAAATGCTTATTTTTGGCCCCTTTTTGGCCCCCAATTCCTAAACGTTTTGGCAATTACCCCCAAACTCAATTCCAGCTTTCCCTTTGTGATATGGAACCTTGTAGTACAATTTCAGAAAGATCCATACACTTACACACAAGTTATTGTCATGAAACTAGAAAAATGCTTGTTTTTTGCCCCTTTTTTGGCCCCTAATTCCTAAAATTTTGAGGCAATTACCCCCAAAATCAATCCCAGCATTCCTTTTGTGATATGGAACCTTGTGGTACAATGTCAGAGAGATCCATACACTAACACACAAGTTATGTCTGGAAGTTACAAAAATGCTTATTTTTGGCCCCTAATTCCTTTACTGTTGGTACCATAACCCCCAAAATCAATCCCAACCTTCCTTTTGTGGTATTGAACCTTGTGGTAAAATTTCATAGAGATCCATTCACTTAAACTAAAGTTAGAGTGCGAAAACCAATGAGTCTTCGGACGACACCGGACGACGACGACGCCAACGTCATACCAATATACGACCACAAAAATTTGTTTGCGGTCGTATAAAAATCAGACTGAATTCTTTAAAGTTTTTTTATAAATTCTCCTAGAATCCAAATCTAGGGTTTGTTCAAATATATGTGTCTTAAAAGTGCTCTACAAATAAAGCAGAATTTGAATAAAGAGGCCTCTCTCAGAAGGACATTTCAACAAAATTTCATTGTAAATTAAGAAGATAAACCTAGCGTAAGGGACATAACTTTTACAAATCACTGGTTCTTTATCTCAATCATTTACAGAAGTATATTATAAGCTTCTAAGCAACACAAAATATTTAATTCTATTTCACATGAGTGCTTAAAGAGCATTGATGAAACTGATTATCACAAACACATCACTGATGAAAGGAGTAAGTTCCAAAAGCTGTTAACTGTTTTTATTAAAAATTAAAATTAAGGATGGATATGTCCTGTACAATCTCAATAAGCTATTATACCAATACATATCATAAAGTCATTGTAATATTACACAGATAATTCCACCATGTCCGTCTCTCATGTAGAGCCTCCATCCTGCCTTCCCATGATCAGGATCACTGAAGTCATGTTCACTGTTGTTCGGTAAGTAAACTGTAAGAAATGACCGTGGTCCATGTCCTAAACACAGGAGAACCTGTTTAAGCTGACCATCATGGAGGTAGTGATACAAGTTTTCTCTGTAATTGTGGTTTGTTTGAAAGTGTTGGGTTACTGTCAGTAAAAATCCAACTACAAATAAAAAGAGAAAACAATTATATTGAGAGACTTGTTTTGAGACAAACAAAATAAAAGAAATAAATACATATTGAAATTTACTCTCAGTACTATTCCATTTTCTTATGATTCTTAAGGAATTCTTCTGATATTTCTTTCAAGCTATCTTTACTCTGAATCAATTAGTAATATTGCATTTATATTTGAACAAATTTTAAAATCTTTCTTGTTGTACAATATGCCTCCAGTAGTTAGACCTATATATATATACCTGTTTCATTGACAAAGTGAATTTCTTTAGGAAATCCTGCCAGTGTTATTGACTGTGTTATAGTGACTACTGCATCAGAATCTATTGTCTCCCTGTAATAATAGTATTTGTATAATCTTGATGCATGGTTCTGAATTTTTAGAAAAAATTTCACACTGAAAGTTAACCAAGCAACAATCAGTCAATCAATCAATCAATCAATCATCATGATACATTTCATATTAAATCATAAACAATAAGCTCTCATGTAATCTATTTTATTTCTTTTGCCAGTTTATTATAATATACTAGTAATTATTTTCATAATCAAATTTATACTGTTACAGAACTTTTGCTGTTCAAAAGTCAAAATATGAATAAAACAAGAGGCTGTCAGATTGACAACAAACCAGATTTTCCTGCAGAGGTCGAACCCTGAACAGTAGAGCAAGTAAATAATGCAAATAAATACAGGTTAAGATTCAGCATTCCTGATTTGGACCAACTTGAAAACTGGGCCCAAAATTGTAACCACATTGAATAATTTCCTGACCCTTTGGCAAAATTATTTGCTTTTGACTGTATCATAAAATGTATATAGGTGACATAGGTGGAATCACAAGATTTGAAAGTATCACAAAGATTGGTGGAACTGGAGCATTTTGTATATATCATAAATCTATGTATTGACCTTTGGCGAACTTGAAGAAAAAATAGTACAACTTTGAAACTGGAATAATAATGTACCTGTGAATCTTTAAAATAAGCAGAAGATTATCCACAGCAATGGCAGCTCTCGTATATGTCTTGCCAATGTCATCAGTGAAACTCACTTCCCCAACAACTTTGAATGTTGTGAATTTGATTTTGTCTTTAACTTTTAAGTCGTCTTTCTCCCAAAAGTTGCTATCAAGAGGCCTAAAATGTAAAGTAAGATATTTTAAAAATAAGAATTTTTTGAGGCTACTAACTAATATTTCGAAAAAAGATTTAAGATTCTCCATCTGAAGACCAGTCTTGTCCTCTGACAGAGAGGTCAAATATCAGTCCTTTGAAGAAAAAAAATCTGCCTTTTCCCCCTCTTTCATCAATATGCAGCTGTTTAAACTATAAACTATAGCTCATCAGATTAAACTGCACCAGATACACAATTTTATATGAGAATTTTCGATAAAAATGATTTATTTTATTCGTCGTACCATTGATATTAAAACTTTTAAAGTGACTTATTGACTCAAAGGATTGGGTGTTCTAATTATTGTTTTTATATTTCACTGTATTATATACATACTGTTGTACGTTTGTTTTTTCTACATTGGCTAGAGGTATAGGGGGAGAGTTGAGATCTCAAAAAACATGTTTAACCCCGCTGCATTTTGCGCCTGTCCCAAGTCAGGAGCCTCTGGCCTTTGTTAGTCTTGTATCATTTTTAATTTTAGTTTCTTGTGTATAATTTGGAGTTATGTATGACGTCCATTATCACTGAACTAGTATACATATTTGTTTAGGGGCCAGCTGAAGGACGCCTCCGGGTGCGGGAGTTTCTCGCTGCATTGAAGACCCATTGGTGGCCTTCGGCTGTTGTCTGCTCTATGGTCGGGTTGTTGTCTCTTTGACACATTCCCCATTTCCATTTTCAATTTTATACTTTGTGAATAACATATGTCACTATAATAAACAATTTACTTACTTACTTACTGTAAAATTAATGTCTCTTTAGTGATGCCCAAGGCCAAAATACAAAAATGTATTTGATAACCAAAACCTAATTGAAATTTTGAAGAGCTAATTTAATTGAAAAGGATAGTTTTAAATCCTAATTTAAGGGCAATCACTCCTACAAAGAGTGACAATCTACTAACTGTATCAGCGAAATTTGACTTGTCAGTAGATCTTGCCTTGCTGATCATTTTTGTGATTTAATATGTATATTTATCTATTATAATTTTTATCATAAAAGGCAAAACGCAAAAAAAATGGTAAAAATTGTCATTAAAGGGCAATAACTCCTATAAGGAATCATCTGAGGACTTCTTCCATATTGTCTTAATTGTAGATCTTGTCTTGCTGATCATTTTTGCTTACTTAACTTTCTATCGATCTGTTATAAATTTTATGATATAAGGCAAAATCCTCATCAAAGGGCAATAACTCTAATAAGGAGTTGCCTGACTTTTTTGACCATGTTTGACTTATTTGTAGAACTTGTTTTGCTGATCATTTTTGCAATTTAAATTTTCTCCCTACCTATTATAATTTTCAAAATAATAGGCAACAATGTAAAAAAATAGTTAAATTTGTCATTTAAGGGCAATAACTACTATAAGAAGTTGTCTGACAGTTTTGACATAAATGAACAATTGGTAGAGTTCAACATTCTGAACATTTTTGCCCTTGTCAGATTTTTCTCTATTTATAACAGTTTTCAAAATAATAGACAAAACTTGCATTTTCTCTATGTTCTATTTTAAGCCATGTCGGCCATCTTGGTTGGCAGGTGGGGTCATCAAACACTTTTTTTTAACTAGATACTTCAATGATGATTGTGGCAAAGCTTGGTTAAATTTGGCCCAGTAGTTTCAGAGAAGATTTTTGTAAAAGTTAACAGACAACGATGGACGACGAGTAATGAGAAAAGCTCACTTGGCCCTCGTGGCCAGGTGAGCTCAAAAGTACTATTGTAAACAAAATTAAATACATTTTACAACAAATGTCAAAAAAAATTTCCTGAAGTGAGATCTCAATCTTTCTACTAGGTTTTGGATTTGAAAATGTTTTGGCCTCAAGTATCACTGAAGAGACATTTATCAATGTTTATTGTCGAAATGCACATCTGGTGCAGTAAAATTTGTACCGTTAACATTATTACTAACACTGCAAATAAATTCATCTGTTATTAAATAGTATACATAGTACAAGTTACTGTAGTAAATGTTGCAGTATTGCCAACACTCAGAGGCCAGGCATCACAGAGGCCAATATAGCAGAGTTAAGCAAAGTTGTAACATGTTTAAGTAAGGTAATAATTCTGACACATTTGAGTAAGGAAAATAATTGGACGTGCTTGATAAAATATTTGCATAAAAGGTCATCTTAACATGACCCCTTATGGGAAGTCTTCAAATTTTAAACACCACGAAACAAATCTCACTGTGTAAAGTGAAAGAAAGATTTGATTTTATTCTGATTGTTCTAATCCAGTCTGAATATTTTTTACTGTTAGTACATGTAGTACAGAATCTAGGAATCATTCAAAATGTGTTAGTCTCCCAAGAAAGACATGTGTCCCCTGCCTTCTCCACACACAGTGGTACAGAATCTAGGAATCATTTAAAATGTGTGAGTCTCCCAAGAAAGACATGTGTCCCCTTCCTTCTCCACATACAGTAGTACAGAATCTAGGAATCATTCAAAATGTGTTAGTCTCCCAAGAAAGACATGTGTCCCCTGCCTTCTCCACATACAGTAGTACAGAATCTAGGAATCATTTAAAATGTGTGAGTTTTCCAAGAAAGACATGTGTCCCCTGCCTTCTCCACATACAGTGGTACAGAATCTAGGAATCATTTAAAATGTGTTAGTCTCCCAAGAAAGACATGTGTCCCCTGCCTTCTCCACATACAGTAGCACAGAATCTAGGAATCATTCAAAATGTGTGAGTTTCCCAAGAAAGACATGTGTCCCCTGCCTTCTCCACATACAGTGGTACAGAATCTAGAAATCATTCAAAATGTGTGTTTCTCAAGAAAGACATGTGTCCCCTTCCTTCTCCACATACAGTAGTACAGAATCTAAGAATCATTTAAAATGTGTGAGTTTCCCAAGAAAGACATGTGTCCCCTGCCTTCTCCACATACAGTGGTACAGAATCTAGGAATCATTCAAAATGTGTGAGTTTCCCAAGAAAGACATGTGTCCCCTGCCTTCTCCACATATGTTAGTACAGAATCTAGGAATCTTTTAAAATGTGTGAATTTTCTAAGGAATATGTGTGTCCCTATCATCTCTAAATGATATACATTGTATTAAATCAGTAATGATGAAATCTTTGTATCATTTAAATATCCCAGTGAGGTCTTCAAAACAGAATTAAAATAGGAAAATACTTATTTGTTCTGTTCAGGATCTAATGGTTAAATCATGCTATAAAATACTCACTTGTTCAGTATAGGACTTAATGGTAGTAACGAGGGAAGATCAACAAATTTAACCTCTCCTGAGGTTGTAAGGAGAACCAATATATCTGCCACAGATCCCATGCTGAACATTTCTCCTAAGTAATCTACTTCATTTTGGAAACCATTGCAAGAACTTAACAACCTGCGTAATAAATCATAACACTTAAAATATATGCTGGTTTTAGGGTTTCCGTGTGATATCAAAAAGACTATGGCCTCAATGTTTTTTTGTGTTGTGTAGTATATAAATCAGGGCCTCAATGTTTTTGTGTGTTGTGTAGTATATAAGTCAGGGCCTCAATGTATTTGTGTGTTGTGTAGTATATAAGTCAGGGCCTCAAATTTTTTGTGTGTTGTGAAGTAAAGAAGTCAGGGCCTCAATGTTTTTTTTGTGTTGTCTAGGATATAAGTCAAAGCCTCAATGCCTTTGTGTGTTGTCTAGTTTATAAGTCAGGGCCTCAATGTTTTATGTGTGTTGTCTAGTAAAGAAGCCAGGGCCTCAATGTTTTTGTGTGTTGTCTAGTTTATAAGCCAGGGCCTCAATGTTTTTTGTGTGTTGTCTAGTTGATAAGTCAGGGCCTCAATGTTTTATGTGTGTTGTCTAGTTTATAAGTCTGGGCCTCAATGTTTTTGTGTGTTGTCTAGTTTATAAGTCAATCAGTATTTGTTTCACAACTGATAAACTGATAACATGAAAAAGCTTTGTTTTTTTTATATGTAAATCAAAGTTCTGGAGAAAGGATTTCTACTTGTGGGTACAGTTTTTGGGATTGTATTTATGTGGGGCTTGATTTGTAGTTTTACAAGGTAAAACGAAATTACCCACTACATTGATGAAAACTAATATCTACAAATAATCCAAAGTAGTATCTGTCATTGACCATGTTGACTGTATATTGTAATAGTACACAATGTACGTCTGTTAAATAATTCTATCACAACCAAAGTACTGACATTCTGTTTACTCAGTGTGCCAGTACACACTCTATCTTATAAAAAAATGTCCTGACATGCTGTTTACTCAAATAGCCCGAAGACCATGTGATTTGGGTCAATATCCCTAATGCGCCTCAAAATGAGGAACTCAAAAGTTGTGTGTAAACAAAAAATCTCTGTGTAGTGATATTTGAAATGTTTCTATGATAAACAAGTGACTGAGCTTAACCATTTGTGTTGATTTAGAAAGTAGGGGAACATAGAATAAATGTGTAAAAAGTATGGAGCTATTAAATGTGTTCAAAGTATTAAATTTTCAAAGAACTTATTGTGTTAAAAAAGGGATTTTTTACCATGAGGAGCCGCATCACGAAAGGATTTTCGGGGTTTGCTAATTTACAGAAAAAGTAATCTCACTTCATACCCCGAAAATTTAACCACATATGTGAAAATGTCTAAGCTTCGAAACGAGCCATCATACATATCCAAGTTAACGATATGGACTGAGCAACAGAAGAAAACGTTACCATTACCGCCTATGGAGAAACAATTGCGAACATTGACCCATTTGTATTCTTTTAAATAAAAGAACTGCCATACTGTTTACTAAGATAACCAGTAGACAGTTATATTTGTGGGCTGTTTTCTGATCTTTGGTCGGTTTGGTGTCTCTTTCCACACATTCCACATTTCCATTCTCAATTTTATGTATAATAGAAAAACAAAGGATATGGATACTCCATGACACAAAATCAGTACATGCACAGCAAAAAACACACAAAAAGCAACAGTACAGCGCTATAGTCTTATTTAAATCAAAGAAGTAACATACTGTTTCCCCAAATGAACAAATTGACAATGAGATTTGTATTCACTGATTAAATCAGTATGCTAATATGACGTGCTTCTTTCGCATTGTAAACAGCATGATAAAATTCTTGATATAGCTATACTTAGCGCAGACTCAGAGATGCACATATTAATGGCTGTTACTATTTACCTCCCATGTAAATCCACATGTATTGTAACCTATGTGCAAACACTATGAGGATTTCTTTGTGTTCAAATTGAAATTGAAAAAGAAACTACAGAACCGTTATTCCTATTAATAGGCATAACAAAAGGAATATATGCATAAGATCATAAAATAAAATGCTCCGCTGGGGCGCAGCTTGATACGACCGCAGAGGTCGAACCCTGAACAGTTGGGGCAAGTATGGACACAACATTCAAGCTTGATACAGCACTGAATTTGGATTGTAATTAAATATTTGACACAGCATAGGTTTCTGACACAGAATGAATGTGGTCTAAGAACTTAAAAATTTTTAATTTACCATATCATTATTATTTGCTTTTATATATTATTCAGAAATAACCAATTTAAAATGGAAAATTTTAAAGAAAAAAAAAGAAAAAAAAATCCCCCCCCCCAATTTTTTGAACCCCCTTATGATTCATCACCCCAAAACTCAATCCCAGCCTTCCCTTTGTGGTATGGTACCTTGCAGTACAATTTCAGAGAGATCCATACACTTGAACACAAGTTATTGTCATGAAACTAGAAAAATGCTTGTTTTTTTGCCCCAAATTCCTAAACGTTCAGGGCAATCACCCCCAAACTTAAACCCAGCTTTCCCTTTGTGATATGGAACCTTGTAGTACAATTTCATAAAGATCCATACACTTACACACAAGTTATGGTCCTGAAACTAGAAAAATGCTTGTTTTTTTGCCCCTTTATGGCCCCTAATTCCTAACATTTTGAGGCAATTACCCCCAAAATCAATCCCAGCCTTCCCTTTGTGGTATGGTACCTTGCAGTACAATTTCAGAGAGATCCATACACTTGAACACAAGTTATTGTCTGGAAACTAGAAAAATGCTTATTTTTGGCCCCTTTTTGGCCCCTTATTCCTAAACGTTTTGGGCAATTACCCCCAAACTCAATTCCAGCTTTCCCTTTGTGATTTCAAACCTTGTAGTACAATTTCAAAAAGATCCATACACTTACACACAAGTTATTGTCATGAAACTAGAAAACTGCTTGTTTTTTGCCCCTAGAGGCAATTACCCCCAAAATCAATCCTAGAATTCCCTTTGTGATATGGAACCTTGTAGTACAATTTCAAAAAGATCCATACACTTACACACAAGTTATTGTCATGAAACTAGAAAACTGCCTGTTTTTTGCCCCTTTTTGGCCCCTAATTCCTAAAATTTGGAGGCAATTACCCCAAAAATCAATCCCAGCATTCCCTTTGTGATATGGAACCTTGTGGTACAATGTCAGAGAGATCCATACACTAACACACAAGTTATTGTCATGAAACTAGAAAAATGCTTGTTTTTTGCCCCTTTTTTGCCCCTAATTCCTAAAATTTGGAGGCAATTACCCCCAAAATCAATCCCAACATTCTCTTAGTGATATGGAACCTTGTGGTACAATGTCAGAGAGATCCATACACTAACACACAAGTTATGTCTGGAAGTTACAAAAATGCTTATTTTTGGCCCCTAATTCCTTAACAGTTGGTACCATAACCCCCAAAATCAATCCCCACCTTCCTTTAAAGCTATTGAACCTTATTGTAAAATTTCATAAAGATCCATTCACTTTAACTAAAGTTAGAGTGCGAAAACCAATGTGTCTTCGGACAACGAGGACGCCAACGTCATACCAATATACGATCGCAAAATTTTTTTGCGGTCGTATAAAAATTTATTAAATAAAAATAAAATAAAATTCAGTGAAATTTAATGAATGATCTTGGCGCATTAACGTCATGTCAAAACATGACTTCATACCAATAGAAACTCTCAAGCTGAAGATTATTCCGTTACGTGTATGCTCTGAATGCAGATTATATCGCATAAAAATGGAGTTTGGAGGTAGTTGTTGTTTCATTTTCTATTCTATTACATCATTTGCAAATTCATGGATTTCAGCAAATAAACTTGGCTGCTCACTCCTTAGTTACGACATGTCAACTGTGGATTTGACAGTAAATAGTAGCCAACGAAAAAAAAATGTTTGGGTTAAGAATTATAAGGATTGAACACATTTTTTCTAGTGGTTATTTAAGAAATAAGTCATGCAAGCCTTAGATTTATTTGAAATTTGTAGCTTTTATTTTACAGGGGGGGGAGGGGGTAAAATAGAACAGTCATACACATGGCAATCTAACCTTCGCTTCAGTTTTTCAAATCACCGTATTTGTCCTATTAGAATCGAAATAATTCATGCAAGTCATAGATTTGTTATCATTTTAACATGGCCTTGGCCGTTATATTCGTTAATTTTATCCCTTGCTAAAGCTCGAGATAAAATTTGAATATGAAGTCCCAGCCCATGTGAAAATTTCCAACAAATCTATGGCTTGCATGAATTATTTCTGAACTAATATTCTGTTTACTCTGATGATGAGTAGACAGAGATATTTGTATTGTATTCATTTCAAAGAAATCACATACTGCTTAATCAGATGACCAGTAGACAGTGATATTTGTGTGTATTTGGGATCTAAATTAAAGTACTGACACACTGTTTACTCAGTAGACAGTGAGATTTGTGTGTATTTGTGATCTAAACTAAAGTACTGACACACTGTTTACTCAGTAGACAGTAGAGATTCTCTATTCAAAGAAACCAAACTTACATATTACTCATGGTCAGACTATACACTTTACTCTCGTGAGTTATAGGATCCATCTGAAGGGTATCAGTAAGAAGTTTAGTACGTAACCGATCATTTATCATTTCACCGTGTCTGTCATATGTCAGGAAATCCCTATAAAGAATATTAAGCATGCAATAAAATTAACAATTATACATCTTAAAAGAACAGTACAAAAGATTTCCTAGTTTTAAGAATAAGCAAACTTTTTCAAAGATTTACTCAATTCCAAAATCATTAGCTCACCTTTCAAGGACTCATTACAACAAATATATACATAGAAATTTTAAGCCATATTTAGACAGCAGCCAAAGAGTGGATTTAAAGTCTTATAGGACTGTAAGTATGATTTATTTTTTCCCTTTGCACTTTGATGACTTGACTTGACTTATGAGTTTGACTGTCCCTTTGGTATCTTCTGTCTCTCTTCTGCACTTTGATGACTTGACTTGACTTATGAGTTTGACTGTCCCTTTGGTATCTTCCGTCTCTCTTCTGCACTCTGATGACTTGACTTATGAGTTTGATTGTCCCTTTCGTATCTTCCGTCTCTCTTCTGCACTTTGATGACTTGACTTGACTTATGAGTTTGACTGTCCCTTTGGTATCTTCTGTCTCTCTTCTGCACTTCGATGACTTGACTTGACTTATGAGTTTGACTGTCCCTTTGGTATCTTCCGTCTCTCTTCTGCACTTCGATGACTTGACTTGACTTATGAGTTTGACTGTCCCTTTCGTATCTTCCGTCTCTCTTCTGCACTTTGATGACTTGACTTGACTTATGAGTTTAACTGTCCCTTTGGTATCTTCCTTCTCTCTTCTGCACTTCGATGACCTGACTTGACTTATGAGTTTGACTGTCCCTTTGGTATCTTCCGTCTCTCTTCTGCACTTCGATGACTTGACTTGACTTATGAGTTTGACTGTCCCTTTCGTATCTTCCGTCTCTCTTCTGCACTTCGATGACTTGACTTGACTTATGAGTTTGACTGTCCCTTTCGTATCTTCCGTCTCTCTTCTGCACTTTGATGACTTGACTTGACTTATGAGTTTGACTGTCCCTTTCGTATCTTCCGCCTTTCTTCTGCACTTTGGAACCTTTACTTTGCAGTTGGTTGAAATTTCTGACCAGGTTAACAAACTGATTTGATAAAACAAATTGCAATTGGGTCAGAATTTTGAATGGAATTTTGAATGAACTGCAATGGGTGGAGAGAAAAACTTATAATCAAGTCACAGTAATAAATGTAATCTAATAAGATACTAAATAATTAAAGTGTTATACAGAATACATCATGATATGACTGTAACAAGATAAAACAGAAGTATGATCTGACTGTAACAAGATAAAACAGAAGTATGATCTGACTGCAACAAGATAAAACAGAAGTATGATCTGACTGTAACAAGATAAAACAGAAGTATGATCTGACTGCAACAAGATAAAACAGAAGTATGATCTGACTGTAACAAGATAAAACAGAAGTATGATATGACTGTAACAAGATAAAACAGAAGTATGATATGACTGTAACAAGATAAAACAGAAGTATGATCTGACTGCAACAAGATAAAACAGAAGTATGATCTGACTGTAACAAGATAAAACAGAAGTATGATCTGACTGTAACAAGATAAAACAGAAGTATGATCTGACTGTAACAAGATAAAACAGAAGTATGATCTGACTGCAACAAGATAAAACAGAAGTATGATCTGACTGTAACAAGATAAAACAGAAGTATGATCTGACTGTAACAAGATAAAACAGAAGTATGATCTGACTGTAACAAGATAAAACAGAAGTATGATATGACTGTAACAAGATAAAACAGAAGTATGATCTGACTGCAACAAGATAAAACAGAAGTATGATCTGACTGTAACAAGATAAAACAGAAGTATGATCTGACTGTAACAAGATAAAACAGAAGTATGATCCGACTGTAACAAGATAAAACAGAAGTATGATCTGACTGCAACAAGATAAAACAGAAGTATGATCTGACTGTAACAAGATAAAACAGAAGTATGATATGACTGTAACAAGATAAAACAGAAGTATGATATGACTGTAACAAGATAAAACAGAAGTATGATCTGACTGTAACAAGATAAAACAGAAGTATGATCTGACTGTAACAAGATAAAACAGAAGTATGATCTGACTGTAACAAGATAAAACAGAAGTATGATCTGACTGTAACAAGATAAAACAGAAGTATGATATGACTGTAACAAGATAAAACAGAAGTATGATCTGACT